ATTCACATAACTTAAAAAATAACCACTTTAGAATGAACTATGTCTGTTCTGTCTTTTTGGATTTACCTCTTTTGAGCATTCTATATTAATGGAATCACACAATATGTGTCCTTTTGTGTCTGGCTTCTCTCACTTCATGTTTTCAAGGTTCATCCATGTTGTAGCAGGTATCAGAACTTCATTCTTTTTTATGGCCAAATAATACTCTGTTGTGTATATGTAATACTTTGTGTATGTATTCATCCTTTAATGGACATTTGGGCTCTTTCTTCTTCTTTCTAACTATTGTGAGTGACCCAGTATTTTTCTACCCTGTGGTTTTAGCATCCATGGCTGATTCTTGCCTGAACCCATTATTACGGTGATGATTATAAAGTGAAGATTCTGCATTTGTATCTTTGTCCTTCCTACTACATTGATTAGTTGGGAGTTCTGTGAACAAGTCTGTTAAGACTCTGTGTGTGTGTGTGTGTGTGTGTGTGTGTGTGTGTGTATGTAGTAATATCAGAATGGACTTGGGGATTCTTTCTTATTCAGTGTATAATCCATTTTTTTTCTTCAAGTATTTATTTTGAGAGAGAGGGAGGGAGAGAATCTCAAGCAGGCTCCACCCTGTTCACACAGACCCCTGTGTAGGGCTCGATCTCACAAACTGAGATCATGAACTGAGCCTAGATCAAGAGTCCGTTGTTTGACTGAGCTACCCAGGTGCACTGTAATCCATTCGTATTCATTTTTATGTTCAAATTGTACCAGAATTGCCTAGTGGGAATTCCTCAAGCTGGCTCCCATTCTTTCTCACTTGACCCCCTTGGTGTTAGAGTCAGTGGCTTATAAAAGGTGTCCATTTATGTTCAAACGCCAGTTCAAGAATTGTTCATGGCCAGGGTGTGTGGCAAAGTCATTCGTGTTTATGGATGATAGATTTGTGACATACATCAGTGGTGAACATGTCAGGGGCGCACCATGTAATAAAATCTGATTTGCTGCCTTAAAAGGAGTATTGAGTGGCAGGGGGTGGGGGGGGGCAGGGAACCTGGGTGGCTTAGTTGGTGCTGACAGCACAGAGCCTGCTTGGGATTCTCTCTCTCTCTCTCTCTCTCTCTCTGTCCCTCTCTCTCTCCCGCTCCCTCCCTCCCTCCCTCTCTCTGCCCCTCCCTCATTCATGCACACACTTTCTCTCTCAAAATAAATAAAACTTAAAAAAAAAAAAGTATTGAGCTTGAACTTTATTTAAATGAAAAAGATTTAGCTGAATATTGAATATGTGTGTGTATTTATTTATATTTTAGGCTTTCTTTCCCTGACCTGATAACATCAGGACATGATAAATTTCTGTGTGCTTAAATGTTTATTTACTTGTGGGGTTTTTTTGTTTTGTTTTGTTTTTGAGAGAGAGAGACCACAAGCAGGGAGGGGCACAGAGAGAGAGAGAGAGAGAGAGAGAGAGAGAGAGAGAGATTGAGAATCTGAAGCAGGCTCCAGGTTCTGAGCTGTCAGCACTAAACCCGAACGGGACTTGAACCCACAAGCCACGAGATAGTGACCTGAGCTGAAGTCAGAAGCTTAACCGACTGAGCCACCCAGGCGCCCCTTCTGTGTTTTTAGTTGGAGCTGATCTGCTTCTTTGTAATTGCTAGTTTCTTTTTGTGCAGCTAAGATCTTTTTCTTTAGGCAGATTTTTCTTTCATGAAATTCTGCAAAAGAACAGGTGGCATATTTTTACATTTAAAATTCAGAGTTTAATTTTTATCTGTTTTAGAAACTGTGTGTAGGGGCGCCTGGGTGGCTCAGTCGGTTGAGTGTCTGACTTTGGCTCAGCTCATGATCTTGCGGTATGTGAGTTCGAGCCCTGCCATCGGGCTGTGTGCTGACAGCTGGGAGCCTGGAGCCTGCTTCGGATTCTGTGTCTCCTCCTCTGTCTGCCCCTCCCATCCTCATGCTCTGTCTCAATAATAAATGTTAAAAAACCCAAAGCAACCTTTTTGTGTGTTTTAAGGGAAAATTATTAAGTGTGATAGTTATGTAATTATTCAGATAAGCTTATGTTTTCAGGGCAATGCTACTGTTGAATTTTCTTGTTCTATAGAATTAGATTTACTGTTTCAAGTTCTTAGAGGAATTTTTTAAAATCATGATAATGCCTTTAAAATATCCTGAGTGGTAAAAATAAAGGATACCTCTTAATCTTTCCTATTCTTTCTATCTGTAATTGTAGTGAATGGCAAACAGATTCTAGCTTGTGGTGGTAACTAAGAATCTCCAGGAATCTGTTGTTTTATAGTATTTATAACTAATGGGGAATTTTCCTTGATACCTGTATCGTTTGTTTACATCAAATATAATTGTATATGTAATTTAAAAACGTCCTCTGTATTCCTGAAAGCAGTCACAGTGAATTAATCTCTTTGATTTGTCACTGGACGAATAAATAGATGATACAACTACTAACTGTATTACTATGGCACTTCAGAAAAGTCTTCCCCACAGACCGCAGCATCCTGTGGCCTTGCTTTAGGACTGGTGGCTCTCAACCGGCAGGAGGGTGCCACCTGTGATCTCGTGGGCAGAGGCCAGAGATGCTGCTGGCCATCCCGTGGTGCCCAGGAAACACCCCACACCCTCCCGCACACACGCAAAGAGTTACCAGGCCCCACGTGTCCGTGGTGGTGCTACTGGGAAGTCCTGCATTGGGGGCGAACCTTACGGGGTTCTCAGAGGTAGCTTCTTCGTATTAACAAACATAAGTACTGACCATTGAGAGTAATTGTTTCCCCAAGAAGAAATACGGTTTTAACGATCAGGTTTATTTATTTATTTTTTAATGTTTATTTTTGAGAGATACTGAGTGTGAATGCGGAAGGGGAGAGAGAGAGGGAGACACAGAATCCGAAGGCTGCAGACTCAGCTGTTAGCACAGAGCCTGATGCGGGGCTCGAATTCGCGAACTTCGAGATCTTGACCTGAGCCAAAGTCGGGTGCTTAGCCAGTTGAGCCATCCAGGCGCCCCTTAACGATCAGGTTTAAATTTGGGCCCAGAGATAAAACCACCAGCAGCTGAAAGGTGATGGATCAGCCTTGGCACCCTGAGAGTGGTGTGGGTCTGTGGTTCTCGGGATGCCCCTCGGGCCTTGCTCCATCCCGTGTTCCTGGGCAGGATCTGGATCTCTCCCCAGCTCCCGGCTGGGTGGGCATCCAGAGAACCTGACGTGCAGAAACGTCTGCGATTCAGCCACAGCGTGGTTCTGGCTCACCTAATTTGTCTTCCGACCTCGGGCTTCAGGCACTATGCTCTGTTGTCTTCAAGGAGTTCATCCGTGCACCCTCCCTGCCCATAAGGCAGCTTCCATCTAAGTAAAAACTGTGGTTCGTGTTTTATAGTAAATGTGGTTTGAGCCTAGTCCCCAGACCCTCTCCTCCCTCCACACCCTCTGTTCTAGGTGAAGGCACAGCCTGTCACCCCTGGGCTTGGCACTTGCCGCCTTCTTGTGTGTGCAGAGTGAAGCTTAGGAGTAGGCTGCCTCCAGGGTGAGGGGGCTGCTGGGGTAGGCGCGTCCCAGTCCACGTTCTCCCTGTGTCCCCCACCCCGTGGTCACAAGCATATACAATAGCTTTCTTTTAAAAAAAAATTTTTTTTTTCAACGTTTATTTATTTTTGGGACAGAGAGAGACAGCATGAACGGGGGAGGGCCAGAGAGAGAGGGAGACACAGAATCGGAAACAGGCTCCAGGCTCTGAGCCATCAGCCCAGAGCCCGACGCGGGGCTCGAACTCCCGGACCGCAAGATCGTGACCTGGCTGAAGTCGGACGCTTAACCGACTGCGCCACCCAGGCGCCCCGTACAATAACTTTCTTTGGGTGTCGGAAGAGCCTAAAGCCTTTCCCCCGCCCGGGGTGGGTTGAGGGGTGGGAGGGTTGTGAGGACTGAATGAGGTTAAGTCCTCTGAAACCCCTGGCACCAGGGTCTAGAGTGCACGTGGCGGGTAGTACGGATTGCTTGTGCGGGCAACCCTTTCTGTTGTAACCTTCCCTTCCCTGGACCCTGTTCATTTTCTGCTTTCCTCCATCTCCCTACTTGCCGCCCACCTGTCAGAACAGAAGAGACTTGTATTCCGTGCTGCCGTCTCGGAGGTTGGAAATTGAATTTGATAATCTGCAGGGAGTTTATAGTGACTACGGTGTGGTTGTCATATTGTGCGAGAAAGCAGTGGCGTTCTTGGGTGGTTGGGTGTATGAGAACCCTAACGACTCACAGTTGCTGAGATTAGAGTTTTAGGTTTCTGTGGTCTAGTTCTTGGCAACAAACTGTTTCTTTTTCTTCTTCTTCTTCTGTATCGCTTTGACTCAACGTCCCTGTGTGTTGGTTGGTTGATTGCTTCTAACTTTGCTGCGGTCTTGTGACCTGGAATATCAAACGTGCAGTGACATCCATGGTAAGGGTGACTAGGCTTGGAGCCGCCGGGCTGGGGTGGGGACAGGAGCTGAGAGGGTTGGGGTGCCCTGTCGGGACTCAGGAGGAGAACACGAAGACTTTGATGGCTCCTCAAGCTTGACGTGGTAAATGAGTTTTTTTTTTTTTTTTTTTAAACGTTTGTTTATTTTTGAGAGATAGAGATAGAGTACAAGCAGGGAAAAGGCAGAGAGGAGGGAGACACAGAATTCAAAGCAGGCTCCAGGCTCTGAGCTGTCAGCACAGAGCCCGACGTGGGGCTCGAAGCTGCCCCTCTCGAGATCATGACCCAAAGTGAAGTCGGATGCTGAACTGAATGAGCCACCCAGGCGCCCCTGGGCTGAGGTTTTTTACACGGACTTAGTTTTGAGCTGATTGAGCTAATGTACATTTTGGGGCAGTTGGAAGGATTAACGGAGGGTCTCTCAGGTCGTACAGGGTATGCTGTGATCTCCTTTCCCCACACGGGTCACTTTGCTCACCCGCTTTCTTGGTAAGAAGGCCCATCGTGCCATGCGCTGGCTCCTAATTCTCTTCTCTCGATTTCAGGCAAAGTCGTGTGTGTGTCACGTCTGTGGTGTCCACCTGAACAGGCTCCACTCCTGCCTGCACTGCGTCTTCTTTGGCTGTTTCACAAAGAAACATATTCACGAGCATGCGAAGTCCAAGCGGCACAACCTGGGTAAGGCGCCTTCTGATGAGTGTCCCTGGTGTGGGGACGGCCACTACCCGGCCTGCTGTTCCCTGAGTCGTGGCTCCCAGCTCATCCGGGGCCCTGTCTGAAGTCCTCTGGCAACTCCAGGGGCGAGTTGAGGAACAGATGAACTCAACAGGCTTATGCACCCAGCTGGCCTTGGGGCTCTCGAGTGGATGTTGATTATCTGTGCCATCAGCACAGAGCCCGATGTGGGGCTCGAACCCGCCAGCCGTGAGATGATGACCTGAGCTGAGATCAGGAGTCAGACTCTTAACCGACTGAGCCAAACAGGAGCCCTGCAATGTTAGTTATTAACGCCAGTGTGGAGTTGAGGGATTTTTATTGCTTCCTATGGTGGATTTTCATGGTTCTCGATAATACAGGGTCACGAAAAGGCTGACGGCACCGTGGCATCAAGATCAGTTGTTTCGTGTAGTTGCAGGTTCAAGCTGTCGCACATTCTGGAAATTACACAGAGCGGAGTTTTGCTCTTGGCTTTCTTTTCTGACCGTGTTCGTTAAGTGTCTCTCTCCTTTAGTATGTGTGATGTTTTCTCTTGAGTGATGGGGAGGCTCTTCGGCTGGCCTTAAGAAAGTCACTTTCACGAGGTCCAGGCCAAAGAGCTGTTACTTCACGGCGGCTCGGCATTGCCAGTTTAAGGTATTTTTAGGCCTTTTTAGGTAGTAGAAATGGAATGTAAGGACTCCGTCCTCTCTGCTGGACTTACTTGTAACTAACAACTTAGACTGAGCCTGAGTGAAAAGGGTGCTTGGAGCTAGGGGTTCAGGTTGTGACATTGAGCTTGTTGGCCTTTTTGGAAGGAGAGCTAATGGACCTAATAGTGCTGTCATGAGCTCTGTCCACAGAGGAACAAGGTAGTTCGTGATCTCTTCTTACATGGAGTAACCAGAGGCAAAAGACACGGGTCAGGACCGTGTGGATGTGATCAAACTCTGTAGTACTCACTTACTGTAGATCTTTGCTTTTACCGGTACAAATGAGGAGTAATGCTGCCGTATCTGTTCTCCGACCAGCCCCATTTAGGGGGCTCTGCTGTTATTCCCCGGGCTGTGATTCCATGTGGTTAGAGGGTTATGGAGAATTGAAAGTATATTTGCACTTGAAAAAGCTATCTGAAGAATTACATTGTTACGCAGAATCGTCTACAAAAATCACTTCAGAAATGCGTCCATTTTTAACCTGATTGATACACTCGTTCTCTACTTCTGCTGGAATGAGTAAGTTTTAGAAGGCTTGCTTTCAGAAACAAAACCTTGAAATCGGAGAAAGATGCGTTTGAGTCCGTGAACGTACTGGAGATTGCACGTGTATGTGTTTAACCAAAAGCTAGAATTAGTTTCTGTGTCCAGGTGGACAGGAGGGTGGCGGGCACAGGAGAGCGAGGCCGAAGCGGCAAAGTGCTGGAGGAGAAGAACGGGGAGGGGCAGCCCCGGTCCTGCCTGGCGGTTTGGTCTCCGTTTCCCCCACTTAGGAGGTCACCTGCTCGTCTTCCGCCCTGTGTGTCCAACTGCTGCTCCCGCCCGTTATCTCCAGAGCAGCTTCTAGGCTGGCGATACTCTGGTTGTCCTTTCATACAGAGTATTTCGCAGGATGTTCAAGGGCAAAGTGATTGAGCAGTGGTATGAGGAGTGAGGGGCCTCGACTTCCTGGTGGTCCACTTCTTCTGCCTCCCAGGGGATATGTGGTAGTACGACGTTGAGACCTGAAGTCCTCGTCAGGCATCCAGGTTTTAGTTGGAGTAGCACGGAGGCCTAAACTGAGTCTTGTCTGAATATTGTGGACGATGCACGTAAAAACAGAGTATTGGTAGAGTAAGGCCATTGTCGAAGGTCTTGTGGAGGGGACGGGCGAGTGTGGCATGGGACGAGGAGGGTCTGACAGCAGTCTGAGGTCCTGCCCTGTCAAGTTGCCTTAATGCAGTGTGATAAATACACACTTCAGGGAAGAGAACTTCCCCTCTCTCGGGGTAGTCACTCAGCTTTGCTGGTATGCTTCCACCTGTACGGGTTGGTGTCCCAGACTGGGTGTCGGAATATTCCAGCCAGCTGTGGGGCGGGTACAACAGAGTAAGGTGACAGACTTGGAGCTGCTTTGTGTTCGTACCTTCTAGTTTCATGCAGGTCTGGTTTTGTGCTGAGTCCAAGGGTACTTAGATTTTGTCTGTATGAGCCACAGAGGTGTAAAAGTAATGCCTTTAGCTTTGTTCCGTGTGTGCGTGTGTCTTTCAAGAGTTAGAGCATGTGTTGGTGGGTGTAGGATATCAGTTCGCTTATGAATCGCCAGTGTTTTTCCTCCATTCTCGAGGTTACCCTGCGACCAAACAGAAAAGGACCTTGCATGGTGCATGCACGGTGCTTCTGTGAGCTGATGGCTTTGGGAATTCCCAAGGAAGCCAGTATACCCTCGTCTTGACTATGAAATAATTTTCCAGGGGAGCTACCCTGATGGGAGGTGTTGCTTTGGGCTTTTAAATTTTATGTTGAGGTGAAACTCACATGATGTACAACGAAGCATTTGAAAGCATACAATCCAGCGGCTTTTCGTCACTCACCAGTTGTGCAACCACCACCCCTCTACTCTCCAACCTCGTCGTCATCTCAGAAGAATACCCCACCTCCAGGAACTAATTCTTTCCTCCCTCCAACGCCTGGCACTCGCTAATCTGCTTTTTGTCTCTCTGGATTTGCCCATTCTGAATATTTCATAACAGGAATTATACGGTATATGACCCTTTGTGTCCAGCTTCTCTCTCTTAGCATGCTTCCAGGGCTGATCCACGCCGTAGCATGTGTCAGTAGTCCGTGCGTTGTATGTTTGAGTAACACTCCATTGTGTGGACCTTCCGTATTTTGCTTATCTTTGTATCCATTAATGGATATTTGGGTTGTTTCCACCTTTGGGCCCTTATGATAAGGCTGTTGTAAACATCCATGTGTAAGTTTCTGTGTGGACATACGTTTACCTTTTTTTAAGATGTATACCTAGAGCGGATTCGCTAGAGCGAATTAGCGGTGTCATATGATATTTCCGTGTTGACTTTTTTGTGGAGCCACCAGACTTGCCCACAGTGGCTGCACCATTTTATGTTCCTGCCGGCAGTGCCTGAGTGTTGCTGTTTCTGCACATGCTCACCGACACTTCTTTTCTTTCTTTTTTTAATAACTCTGGCCACCATGATGGGTGTGAAGTGGTGTCTAATTGTGGCTTTGATTTGCATTTTCCTAATGACCAGTGATGGTAAATATTTTTTCATGTGCTTCTTGGTCCTTCGTATATCTTCTTTGGAGAACTGTCTATTCAAGTCACTTGTTCATGTTTTTAATTGGGTTGAGCTGTTTGTCTCTTTGTTGTACTTTCTGAGATATGTGTGTGTGTGTGTGTGTGTGTGTGTATTTTTTGGAAATACACACACACACACACACACACACACACACACCTTGGAGATATATGTATATATCTTCTGGATAGTGAACCCTTAGCACAGACGTGATTTGCAGACATATTCTCCTATTCTGTGGGTTGTCTTTTCACTTTCTTAATAACATCCGTTGGTGTAGAAAGTCTAGTTTTGATGAAGTCCAACTTAACCTATTTTTTTCTTTAGTTGCTTGTGTATTTGTTGTCAAACCTAAGAGTCCATTGCCAAATCTGAGGTCATGAAGACTTAGCCTCTATGTTTTCTTCTACTAGTTTTATACTTGTAGCATTTTATTGAGGTTGCTGATGCATTCGGAGTTCATTTTTGTATATGATGTAAGGGTTGGGCTTCATTCTTTTGTTTTTGGATTTCTGGTCATCCTACCACCATTTGTTGAAAAGATTGTTCTTCCCCCACTGAGTGGTCTTGGCACCCCAGCTGACCTCATTCATTTTACACAGTGAGTGAAGGGTGTGGAAAGGGTGTGGAAAGGTGCCTTGAAGAAGAGCTTGTCTAGGACGAGTTGAACACACGTTGAAATGTTTAAATGCCTTCCCCAGGCTGGTAGTTGGGCTGTTGGTTGCATGCTTGGCACTTTATTTGTTAGTTTATGTTTGTTTATTTATTTTGAGACTGAGAGAGCACGTGGGGGAGAGAGAGGGGGAGAGAACCCCAAGCAGACTCTATGCTGTCTGTGCACAGCCTGACATGGGGTCGATCTCACGAAGTATGAGATCGTGACCTGAGCTGAAATCAAGAGGCGGAATCTCAACCGACTGAGCCACCCAGGCACCCCTGGCATATTTTGTATCGAATGTCTGTCTCTGCTTTCCTGAAAATTTCTGTACCACCTCATTGTAGTCTGTCTCTGGCTTTGGTATCTCCACACCAGGAACTTTTCCCATTCAAGGAATACGAAGTGCCGAGGAGGAACCGAGCTGTCCGCAGAGCTTTGATGGGGACTTTCAAAGAATCTGTAGGAATTTTGTCAGTTTGCGGGGAGGGGCGAGGGGTAGATTGTGATTCTTAAACTGAGCCTTCGTACACCTGCTACAGAGGACTTCAGAGATCCACCACAGTATTACCGATCTGTGTCATAGTAACTTAAGGCATAGAATGTGATCAGAGCTGTGATTTATGAAGACACTACTGTATACTAGGTGTACTGTGACGTTATAAAATTACCACACAAACCTATGAGGTGTTAGTGCGGTTACTATCACCATTATACCAAAGGGGAAACTGAGGCTCAGAGAAGTGGAGTAATTCATCAGAGGTCCATAAAGGTACATGGCAGAGCTGGGATTAATACTAGTTTCTGTAAATCTGTAAAGCTCTTGCCTCCATGCTGCAGTGCCTCTCAAACATCTTGGTGAATCTCAGCCAAAAAAATTCTTTTTAACTGTTGAGTGGAGATAGTACCTTTCTTCCAGGTGCTTAAAGGACTTTATCTTACTTTCTAATGTGGTAACTAAGGGCCGGGTTCTATAGATGAGGTGGTTGAGAAAATGCGTGAGAGCAGCAGTCAGCTCTGTGGGTCAGGAAGTCAAGATTCTCTGGTTAGAGCTTATTTTACAGCTGTCCTTGAAGTGAGAGTAGGCCGGTAGCTGTTGTGTTCCTTTTTGTAATCCTGTAGGAATTCTAGATATAGTAAAACGGTTTTATGTGTCAGGTGGCCGAGAATCCTTAGGAGCTGATCGTACTCCATGAAAGTTTTCCCTTGTTTTAAATCCCACTCTTTCGGGGTGCCTGGATGGCTCAGTTGGTTGAGTGCCTGGCTTCAGCTCAGGTCATGATCTCACAGTTTGTGAGTTCAGGCCCCATGCTGGGCTCTGTGCTGACAGCTCAGAGCCTGGAGCCTGCTTCTCATTCTGTCTCCTTCTCTCTCTGCCCCTCCCCACAGGCACTCTGTCTCTCTCACTCTCTCAAATATAAATAAACATTACAAGATAAATAAATAAATAAAATTCCCCTGTGTTTAAAAAAACCCTACCCTTTCAGAGAAAAGACAGAAGGTCCTGATATGTGAGAGTTAGGTTCTTTGTGAGATGTGGACGTTGACCCCTCTCTTGGGTTCCTCAGCCCTTCATAGGAGCTTCCGGGGAAAATACACCTGCTTAGTATACACCCCACCTGCTTGGGATAGAGGTCTGAATGGGAGGGACCAATCATTTTGCAACAGGTGGGTTCTATGGTTCGAGAGTAGGGAAATGGTATAAACAGTGAAATGTCTAAAACACTTAGGGGTTTCGTTTGTGACCTTACGCGTTACCTGTACATTTGTAATTAAATCTGATCTCTTCCCTCCATTCTCTTTGCAGCCATAGATCTCATGTATGGAGGGATCTACTGCTTTTTGTGTCAGGACTACATATACGACAAAGACATGGAGATCATTGCCAAAGAGGAACAGCGGAAGGCTTGGAAAATGCAAGGTTTGGTTTGGCCTAGATTTGTGTGCCTGATTTGTCTCTTAGTCCTGCATCCCCTCGTGTGTCTGAAGGGCAGAACTTCCCAAGAGAAAGACCAACATCTAGGGAGAAAGTGAGTGTTAGAGAGCTAGGATCGCAGCTAGGTTTTTGCAGGTTGGGTTCTGATTTGCTCACTCCCTCCTGTAGGCGAGAGGCAGGTCAGGTGACTGGCCAGACAGGTGCGTGGGGAGCGAGCTGAACCTTCCAAGCTTCTCATCGAGGCCCGGTCTTTCTGGCAACCAGCCCGCCTCCAGGAACCCACCGAGAGTCACCTCATTAGAACAGAAGCTGCTCCTAATGCTCACGCTCTTATCACTTAGGAGGTTACAAGAGTTTGGGGAGCTCTGTGCCAGCAACCCGGGGCAGAGACCAGTATATGTTTTCTGCTCTCACAGTGGCTATGGTACCAGCGTGGGGTTCTCTGTTGCTGTCGCTTCCCTGGCTTCACACGGGCTCTCTTCAAGGGGTGCTGTCGGGGATGGACACAAACATTATGCAGCGGTTTTCTTTATTGTTCATTGATGTATTTTTTGGTTCCTTGATTTGTTTTTCTTTCTTTAGGCAGATGCTCACAGGTTTCAATGGTAGTAGGTGTAGTTTACCCCGTGTGGCTGGTGAGCATTTCTCAACTAGTGACGGTTCCCATCACTACTCACAAGGAGAACATATCTGTTTTACAGTTTTTGGCCTTAATTGCTCCGCCTTTTTTTTTTTTTTTGAGAGAGAGCGAGCATGAGTGTGAGTGGGGTAGGGGCAGAGAGAGAGAGAGAGAGAGAGAGAGAGAGAGACAGCATCCTAAGCAGGCTCCCTACTGTCAGCGCAGAGCCCGATGTGGGGCTCGGTCTCACAAACCCGGAGATCATGACCTGATCTGAAGTCAAGAGTCAGACACTTGACTGACGGAGACAACCAGACGCCCCCAATTGCTCTGCTTTTAAAACAACCCCATTTTTTGAGAGCGGAACAATAGAAACAGGTGCTCTCAGTGATCAGGATTGTTTCTGAAGAACAGTCTCTTTACCAACTTCCTATTCTTTTCCCTCTCAGAAATTTAGTAACATTGCCACTAAGTCCGAATATATCATTTCTTTGGCAAGGACATTTAACGCACAGGAGCTAAGAAATGCATGTCCCAGAATAAAATCGACCTCTTCTACATGAAGTCATTCTACAATTCCATCCGTCAATGAGATATTATATCTTTTAAAGTTTACTAAATTTTGCAGAAATTTTAGGTTGCAAGGAACAAGTACCTTTGAGTGAATCGGTATTTGCATGAAGTGTGACACTTAGTGGCATCTACGCCATTGTCTTTGGCTGTTCGACATGTATTTTCAAACGGCGAGTGCATTTTCTCCCTGTCGACTCACTCGTTCACGGGAGAGCCTTCATCTAAGTGCAAGTGCAGCACTGCCTCCCCCCACCCCCCGCCCCCGGGGCGGATGCTACAGGCTCTCTATTCAAGGATTAAGGGCCTTGAAAAAACATCCATCTTCGCATTAGCATGACTGTGGCATTAACTGGAGGTATTGCTTTCTTTCTCACGGGAAACTGCTTATTCACACATTTTCTAAAAGAAACTCCTTTTAAGTGTTCTCTTTAGCCCATTGCAATATAATATGGTTCTAGAAAGACCTCGTGTTATGGGATGCCCCGCTTTGAAATACAACCCGATTAAGTATTCTATCACCATCACTTTTATTTATAAACACACTTGATGAAACTTGAGCTCATGGCGCCTGGAACTGTCTTCCATCCGCTTAGGCGTTGGGGAGAAGTTTTCAACTTGGGAACCAACCAAACGGGAGCTTGAACTGCTGAAACACAACCCGAAAAGGCGAAAGATCACCTCTAACTGCACCATAGGTAGGTGGGCGACAGTGTTTGGAGCGGCCGGTCGTCTGTCCTCGCTGCCAGTGAGGCTTGCTTCTCTGGGTTTAACAATAGATGTAAACAGGTGGGCCTCATAGTACAGCTCTCTGTAAACCTGTGTATAACTCATTCCATCAATTGCCCTCCACCCCCAACTACTTCTGGAGCATCTGTCCTCTGTGGGGGGCTGCAGTAGGCCTAACGTGCCTCATGGTGATGGGCGGAAATGGTCCCTGCCCCGTGGCCCTGATGGTCTCTCCTGGGAAAAGATTCAAGTTTATTCTGACCAAGTGGAGGCTGTACATAATCTTCAGTGAGAGAGAAAAGGATGTGTGTGAGATGGTTCTCCGGGCTTTCTAAGGCTTCAAGAATACATTTTAGAAACTTTTTAATAGGTTTTGTTTGTTAGGCTCCTTTCTGACCTTTCCCATCGTTCTGGAATATTTGTGAGCAGTTCTATCAAAATATAACGGCTGAAGTGAGGGGTAGGGTGATAGTGAGCATTCCTCAGGACAGTTCCCATAAAGGTGGCATGAAATTGGAAAATACTGCATTTCTTTTTGCCTCTTGAATGAATGCATGAAAGGCAGCGAGCACGTACATGTAAAGGGAGGCACAGCAGTGCCATCGGGGTTCGGTGGGACGTGTAGTTCAGTGCCCGTCAGCCCTGCTGTCCCGTCTGCCTCCTGCCCAGGTCTGCGGGGGCTGATCAACCTTGGAAACACGTGCTTCATGAACTGCATCGTCCAGGCTCTCACCCACACGCCGCTCCTGCGGGACTTCTTCCTCTCCGACAGGCACCGGTGTGAAATGCAGAGCCCCAGCTCATGTCTGGTGTGTGAGATGTCCTCACTTTTTCAGGAGGTGAGCGCCGTGGACTCTGGCAGCGTAACATTTCTGTCACCGCTTGTGTTCTCCCTTTAAAAAAAAAATAAGGCTGACGGAATAAAGGGAAGCAGATTTCTGAAACCTCACACAGCGAGTATTTAACATATGCACTTGCTATGGAACGTCGCCCTTTTCCAAAGGGAACTGTTAGGTGGGGACCGGAGGCATCACTTCGAGGCACACTGCTGGCTGGGAGGATGCGAAAGAGCCCTTGGAAAGGGGCATAGCCGGTGGGAGACATTTGCCTGTAAATACTGTGGCACCTCACGCTTCCCTCCTCTGGGGGACGGGTCTGCCGTCCCGAGTCACAGCAGCGCACGTAGGCGCGCACACCGCTTCCCTCCTTTGTTCTCGAGGAGAGTGGACCTTCTGTTCCCTTGCCAGACCTGAGTGTGCTTCACCAGAACGTCTCTGTCGTCGGGTTCTGTCCTGTTTGGATCCTAGGCTGCTCCCAGGTCGTGCCTGTCCTTGTCTCCCTGACCATCGCTTAGAGCGTGACAGGGCTCAGGCCTGGGCTCAGGTATCCTTGAGCTGGATCCTGTGCGCCTAGTGGCCCAAAAGCGTGCCTGGGCTGAAGTTGCTCGGCCGCCCCATTGGTTGTCGACAGGACCCGGATGTACTTCGGGGTCTGGCAGAGGAGCCTCGTCTGTTTCTCTCGGTACCTTTGCTGCAGCATTTCACTCCCACTCAGCAGCTGCCCCCCTGGTTTGCGTCCCGGGCGCTCCTAATTCCTCATTTTGGCTTATCTGTAGAAAACGGAAGGGAGAGGACGGATTCAAAAAGTCCAGTGAGTCCAGAGAAAAATGCAGTTTGCAAAATAAACAGAGTGGGGGAGTAAACTGGAACCATTTTTTTGTCAGAGTAGCCGTAAGAAGTTCTAGGCAGTTGTTAATTATTTTTTTTATCGTGTGTGCTCTGTGTTCAGAGGATGATATTTATTCCTGACAGGTTTTGTTTGTTTGTTTGTTTGTTTGTTTTCCCCCATTTTCTTCTCTGTGTGTGTGCGTCTGAGCAGTTTTACTCCGGGCACCGGTCCCCCCACATCCCGTACAAGCTGCTGCACCTGGTGTGGACTCACGCCCGGCACCTGGCCGGGTACGAGCAGCAGGACGCCCACGAATTCCTCATCGCGGCGCTGGACGTCCTGCACCGGCACTGCAAAGGTGGGGGCCTGCTACAGCTCCCGGTGACCTGGTGGGGTTTTCATCTCCCGTAAGAAACAGCCGTTAATACCTCAAAGAGGTTCTTCACAGTTTGTTTCTAAGGGCGGAGGAAACGTTCTGGGTGCTGTCTTCTGACCTTGCTGGGGTGGAAGAGCGTGGCAGCGGGCCTGTAAAAATGCTTCAGACGCCATCAAAACCGGCTCCCTCCCGTCACGGGTCTCCAGAAGGACTGGTCGTTGCTCTGACACAACCAGACAGCTGAGAACACAAACCAGACCTTCCCACTTGGCAGTTTCCCTGACCCTGAGTCACGTTCATTTTTGGGTCCAGCCAAGGGCTTTTTCAGATCTCTCTTAGGAGCTCCCTGGATCTTGGCTTCTGTCTCACAGCCCAGCCCCAGAGGGTCACAGCCTCCCCAGGGGTCTCAGATGCGTGTGGGGTTTGAGAGTTTTGGGGAAGGGGACAGCGGACAGGAGATTAGGACCGAATAACACGCCGCCGAATAACAGCAAGCCCCTGGAGGGCTTGCTGGTGTTCCTCTTTGCTGGGTGCGGAGTGAGGTCAGGAGTTTCTGTTCCTGACGCGTTCCCACGCGGTGCTGATGCGGCCCGTTCAGGTAGCACGCCCCAGTGTAGCTGGAGTGTGCTGGGGTAACCTGTGGCCTCCCGGCTGGTACAGCTGGTGGTAAGGGATTCCTGACTGGCTCTTTTTCTCTTCCATGGATTCTGTTAAAGAGCAGAGTCCACTTTTTCCAGGTCTTGTTGAACGGCCTCCTACGGCTCCTTCCCAGCCTCTCTCCGGTCACTGAGCTGCTCTCACAAATGCCCTGTGTTGTCTCACATTACAACTTAGAGGCAAGCCAAACCTGAAATAAGGTGGCTTGTTCTGATCAGCTGTCGGTGGCTTTGGGTTCTGGCTTTTTTGTGTACTTAATTTGTTTTCTCCTGAAAGACACACACACGATCCTTTCAGTGCTTGCCTGGGAAGCCTAATAAACAGTGCTTCGTGGCTCGGGTAGGGTTTGGTTTCCCAGCACGAAGTACAACGTACACACAGAAAAGAGCCACTGTGTAAGATTATTAAATTATTGTCCCAAGCATTTGAGGATAATCAGGAAACTTCTGTAACCAGCATTAGTCTGTCCTGAAAATCCACTGCTTGACCATGCACTGGTGTTAAAACAACGTTCGTGTGATGAACACACAATACGGTGATGGTGATCCCGTTCTCACACATGATTCCATTTCACATGTCAAAAGAAACGTCCGGCTCTTCTCGTTAGAAGCACGGTCATCAGAATTCTCCTTCAGCCTTGCTAGGTCACAGCACACAGGAAGGCCCGTTAGCCAGGCCTGCCATGCCCTTGACTGTGTTCTTTTGTGTGGTTATGACCATCCGGTGTCTTTTGGCTTGTTTTCCTCTGTGTCTTCTTGCTGTCAAAAGACCTAATGCGCATCCTTTATTCCTGTGCGATAATTTAACCTTTTTGATGTATAATATATACGTAGATAGGCACAAATAGTCTAGCCCCATGGTCTAGTCGAATGAAAGTTCCATGGTATGTATTTACAGTATTTCTTAATGTGTACCGTGCTCCATCACGTAAGCTTGGTACCCCTGTATGTGCACACACATCGAAGTAGAGAGGATGGGAATAGTACTTATCTCGGTCCAACCGATCGGAAGGAAAGCAGAGCTGTGCTTGAGGTTCTGGAGAGCAGGAGCTGACGAGAAGAGCAGAGACTGGCAGGAGTGCTGCACAGGGACTTCCTGAAGTCAGGGCCCCGGGCAGGACTAGCGCAGGGAAGGGGGGGCTTCCCTGGGCTCGCCACAGGCACAGTCCACCGGGCCACGCCACCGCGAAACTCTTCGGTCATTCCATACGTGGAAAAGGGAGTCCGTAACTCTCCCCAGCTATTGGGCATGAGATACATTTTGGTGCCAAGGTAGAAGCCAAGCAGATCTTAGGGAGTGGAGACAAGGAAGAGAATTGAGAATAAGCCAGCCGGGTTGTTTCCTCTTTTCCTGCCAAGTCTCCCTCTTTGAAGTATCTTCCTGTGCCCTTTCGAAAGCGTCGGCACTTCTGGCTTCCTCACGCCTCTGTAGGCGAATGGCCTTGCCCCTTGGGTTGTGGCTCCTGGAGACGTGCGGACTCTGGGGGCACAGCTGCAGATCACACAGCTGCGGTCTTTCCCCAGGTGATGACAACGGGAAGAAGGCCAACAACCCCAACCACTGCAACTGCATCATAGACCAGATCTTCACGGGCGGACTGCAGTCGGACGTCACCTGCCAGGTCTGCCAGTAAGTGCGAGGCGTCCCGCACTGCACCGAGGGTTCTTCTGGGACACGGAAAGCTGTCGGGGCCGTGCCGGCCAGACCGTGATGTGGGACCCCAGGACCTGTCGGTGAGGCCGACTTTACTCTGGGTGCTGCTTGTTGAACATTGTGGCACACGTTTAGCCGCCGAAGCTGTTGCGTTCTGCACAGTTTTTAAAAGTTTCACACTTAGAGGGGCGCCTGAGTGGTTCAGTGGGTTAAGCGTGACTCTTGGTTTCAGGTCAGGATCTCGTGGTTCATGAGTTGGAGCCCCATGTTGGCCTCCGCGCGGACAGCGTGGGGCTTGCTTGGGATTCTTTCTCCCCCCACACCCACCCCCCCCCTTCTGTGTGTGCGTGCACGCATGTGTACTCTCTCTCTCAAACTTAAAAAGTTTTATGTTTAGAGCTAAAAGTTGGTGCCACCACAGCGCCTTTTTGGTGATGTGCGGATAAATACAATGTTTGGTGGGGCGCGTGGGTGGCTCAGTCGGTTAAGCATCTGACTTCGGCTCATGTCCTGATCTCACAGTTCGTGAGTTCAGGTCCCGTGTTGGGCTCTCTGCTGTCAGCGCAGAGCCCGCTTCGGATCCTCCGTCCCCTCCCTTCCCCTTCCCTGCTCATACTCCTTCAAAAATAAACGTTAAAAGAGAAAAAAAAGAACGTTTGGTCCTTATAGAGGAGCATCTGCAGCAGCAAGCAGATGTGAAGCAGATTCTGTTATTTTTTTAGATTGATAATTTTGATTTGATACTTTTTACTTTTGTGGAACATACAATTCTCGAAATTTATAATTTTTTTTTAAGTTTTTATTTAAATTCTAGTTAGTTAACACGTATGGTAAAATAGGCCTCAGATACACAATTCAGTGATTCATCACTTACATATAGTGCCCCATGCTCATCCCAACAGTTGCCTCCTTAGTTAATACCCATCCCCCATCTAGCCCACCCCCCAGCCCCACCCACCTCCCTCCAGTGCTCAGTTCTCTACAGTTAAGTCTCTTGTGGTTTCCTTCCCTTTCCCTTTTGTTTTCCCCCTTCCCCTGTGTTCATCTGTTTTGTTTCTCAGATTCTACATAGGGGTGAAATCATATGGTATCTGTCTTTCTCTGGCTGGCTTATTTCGCTTAGCGTCATACTCTCTAGCTGCATCCATGTCATTACAGATGCCAAGATTTCATTCTTTCTGATGGCTGGGTCATATGCCATTGTAGAAGGAGAGGTTCAGTGTAAGCAGCCAAGTCACCAGATGTGTTGAGATAAAATGGCTCCAGTACAGAAGATGCGCATTAGCAGGTCGTCCAGAGCAGGGTCCCCAGGGACCAGCGGCCCTTCGTGCTGAGGCCACCTTTGTTCTTGTGTCCAGCCCCCCCCCCCCCCCCCCCCATCTCTGCTCGCCGGTGTCCCTGACACCAGGAGCTGAATAAGAGCCCTGCCTTCCGGGGGGGGCTGGGGCGCACACGGCAGATTCTTGGCACACGTGCTCCAGAGTGGGTTGCTTTTTATTTTACGGTTTCCTTTTCCATTTTCTCCAGAGTAGCGTCCCTGATTCTTTACAGCTGGAGCCTCTGCTTGGCATGCAGAGCTTTTATTTCCAGGAGCTTCAAGAAGGCACTGACTGGCGAGGTTGCAGGAACCCTCCCTTTCGACCTCAGCTCATGCTCCTGGTTTTTTTTTTTTTTTTTTTTTTCCAGTTTTTTAAAAAACCCTAGTCATGATCCATTAAAATTATTTCAGAACCTATGGGATTACCACTTGCACTTTGTATAGGATGGACTAGATACCAGAAGGGGAACAGTTTGCCTGTTACGAACCCCATTTTCTGTGACACAGCTTGTGTCATCGTGGGCCATTGCTCTAAGCAGTGTTTAGACTCACAGTTTTTCCTTCTTTTTTAAAAGTTTTATTTATTTTTAAGAGAGCGCAAGCAGGGGAGGGGCAGAGAGAGGAGACAGAGGATCTGAAGTGGGCTCTGCACTGACAGCAGAAGTGGGGCCCGTGAGATCGTGACTTGAGCCAAAGTGGGACGCTCAACCAACTGAGCCACCCAGGTGCCCCTAGACTTACAGTTTTGAAGAACCTCCTCGTTGGCTCTGTGTTGCTGAACTCCTTCAGCAGGAGGTTGTCTGGGATTAATATCCTGTTTATTTTATTTTATTTTTTGAATGTTTATTTTTGAGAGCAAAGAGAAAGAGTGCGAGCTGGGGAGGGGCAGTGAGAGAGGGATACAGAGGATCCCAAGCAGGCTCTGCGCTGACAGTAGAGAGCCCGATGCGGGGCTCGAACTCACAAACTATGAGATTGTGACCTGAGCCGGAGTCCAACACTTAACCGACTGAGCCACCCAGGGGTCCCAATACCCTGCTTAAATATTTGTAGTAACATTCCAGTCTGTGAGTTTCCTTTCCGTGTCCTTTAAAATAAACCTCTCCGCTAGAGGGAACCGGTTTGTTAAATAGAGCATTAAATGCCGCTGTCCGGCTGTGGGGCTGTGCCTGGTTGGTGTTCTCTCCACGTTAGGTGTGCTTGACGTCTCCATTCCACCTAGGCCCGCGGTGTCCAGCTCCCAGGCAAACATTCTACGGTTCTCAGATGCTGCGGCCGCACATCCATCAATTCAGAGTCTCTGGACGTGGGGCCCAGAAGTTTCTATTTTTCACAAAAACCCCAAAATGATTGTGATGATCTCCTGGGTTTGGAAATGGCTGCTTTAGGAGCAACCTTTGCCTTAAGAGGTTTACGTGCTGTTCCTCTGTAGGGCCACCTTGGGGGCCCAGGACGTGGTGTGTGGGGGCACTCAGTGTGTTTTCTGACCTTCGATGCCCTTTGGATGAAAGGGCAGAGCTGTGAGAGGACGTCAAGGTGCCGTCCGCCAGGGGGTGCCCCTGAAGGTGCATGGCTGTCCCTTCTCACCTCTGCGTTTATCTCCTCTTGCTTCTAGTGGAGTCTCCACCACCATTGACCCCTTCTGGGACATCAGTTTAGACCTGCCTGGCTCCTCCACCCCGTTCTGGCCCCTGAGCCCAGGCAGCGAGGGCAGCGTGGTGAATGGGGAAAGCCACGTAGCGGGAACCACTACGCTCACGGACTGCTTGCGAAGGTAAGAAAGCCGCCCGCGCTTTCGTAGAAGAAGAATGGTCTCTCCTTGCAGGCACTTGTCTCTCCTTGCCTTGAGGCTCTTTGGGGTAGTGGTTGGTCAGAGTAAAGTCCTGATAAATTCAGGGCTACCCCAGGGCCCCAGTAGTATTTTTATTCACATGTCCTGTGTAGACAACAAGGAAAGATGGTGACAGCCTGCAGGTGGCTCCCGTGGTCTGTCACATGTTTGCACGATGACTAGAGATTTCCATTTAGCCGGCTTTGCTCGTAGCCTGTGTGTGGCACGGCTGCTTACCCCCGCTCCCCGCCCCGCCCCGTGTCCGTTAACAGGGAGCCACAGAGCAGAAGTTGAAGTTCCCTCACCTTCTGGGACTAATGCTCTGCACCGGAGTCTGGCCGCCCGCTGTGGCACATGGCCCTTCCTGGAGGCGATTAGCCTATTGTGGTGTTGTGTGTGTCCCTTTACCACACCACCGATTTCGACAAGTGCTGAGGTTTAGGGCAGGGTTGCTGTGAAACGTGTTAAGGTAGCTGGTGTCACCTGCAATGTTGTGGAACGGAAGCCCTTCCCACGCTTTATTTTAATTGAGTTTAGTGTTCGACAACCTTTGTTGAATTAAAGGTTGCTGTAGATACGTTCTTGGGCGGAGGCGTTCCTTAAAAAGAGGGATAAGCTTCATGGCATTTATCTTGCCCTGTACGTCAGCAGGCTCAAAGGCGCATGTGTAGAATTTTCAGTGCATCGGCTTTGTCACACTGATAGGTCCAGATGTAAATGGGGCATCAGACTTGTAATTTGGACAACAAGCGAATGCCCAAAGCAAAAAACCCGACCATTTTCCAAGGGAGTCTTTACAACTCTGTTGAACTTAGTTATGAATTTCAGTAAAACTGGAAGGTTGCCCACAGTGCAGAGGCAGGGAGGGAGCACTCGGCAAGCTGAGATGCACAGGGAGTGCCAGGTCAGGAGCAGGAGTGCCGCGGATCCAGGTCCCTGCCCGAGTGGCCAAGAAGAGGCGGAGCACATCTGTCTCCAGTTTGTGTCACTTGCAAAGAGTCCCTTTTCCAGTTCCGCTGTGGGAGTAGATGACGAAGCCGGCGGAGGTGTTTGTAATTCCGTGGCTGCAGAGACCCTCCCTCCTGAGTCTTCAGCAAGTGCGGGCGCGGCTAGGAGGCGGTCACCCCTCTGTAGCTGGCCTGAGGGAGCGCTCACTGTGTGCTCTGAACCCTTTGCGGAGGAGGTGGACTCTCAGCGGGACCACGAAGGCCTTCCTGAGACGGGCCTGTCGCTTTTCTAGGTTTCCATGTTCCCCCTTTCTCTGGGCTCCGACTCTTTGTGTTGCTCTCAGTTCTGCTGCGTTTACGTGCTGTGTCTTCTCAGTGCGGAGGAGACGGCCTCATACCACCTCTGTGCGCCCCCGCGGCCCCTCCCGTGGCGATGGGCGTCTCGTAGACACGCGAGTGAGTGCGTGCCCGCGTATGCCAGGCCGGAGGGCTTTCGAGGCGGCAGACGGCAGAAATGGACTCTGGTGAGCTTAAGCGGGTAAAGGTACTAGGGAGTTCGCAGAATCCACAGGAAGGCTAAAGAAAAGCCTGCTCAGCAAGCGGGTGGTCTCCAGAAGAGGCTCGGCGACCAGCATCCGGAAGATGCAGCCCGCTGCTGGGCCAGCTGCCCTCAGGTGCAGTTGAGATGCTGCTCCCTGACAGTACAAGTTCTTCCTGCACTTGCTTCTTTAGTATGATTTTTCCAGATTTTTCCAGGCCTAATGACGGGCATCCGGCTGGTCAAGCCTAGGTCGTGTGCCCACCATGCAGGTGGGTGGGAGAAGCAATGACCTGGCTTTTGTGGTAAACCTCCATAAAGGGAGACAGCCCTGCCTCCCACCTAGGTTTGGAATTTCCCCGAACACGAGTGGAGGGTGAGCCGGATACATAATTGACAAGATCTGTGACCTGGGCTCTGTCGTCCTTCCGTTCTTTACTTACGGCTATGTGAATTTGAAGCCAAATCCTCTTCATGTCTGGCACCGTGGGACTTGTTGAGTACATTTTCTTGGCGCTGAAGCAGGTTTGGTTGACCTATTTCGTGTCGGAAAGTTCACATAGTTTGGCAGAGATGACAGGGATTTGGGTGGGGGTGGGCGTGTTTCAGCTTAGGGGCACTACACATGGAAAGAAAAATGACAGACGATTAGGAACTTCCAGAAGAATTAAAAATGGGAAAACCTCAAAAGATGACTCTTGACTTACACGCACATTTTATTTATTTTTATTTTTATTTTTTGAGAGAGAAGAGAGAGCATGTACAAGTGGGAGAGGGGCAGAGAGAGAGGGAGACACAGAATCTGAAGCAGGCTCCAGTCTCTGAGCTGTCAGCACAGAGCCCCACACGGGGCTCGACTCACGAGCTGTGAGATCCTGACCTGAGCCGAAATCGGACACTTAACCGACTTAGCTGCCCAGGCACCCCAGTTGGTGCACATTGTATAAGCGTCTCATCGTGAGAAGCAGTGTGCTTATTGGTCAGTAGCTTAATCAAGAATAGGTAGTCAGGTGGATATAATTGGCATAAAGTGTGTGAATCAGATTTGAGGAGAGATGGAATGTTTCACCCGCGGTCTGACTGACAAGCCACAGAACGCGGCGTTTCGGGGAGTTGGGGCCTCTGTTACCGAGCAGAGTGTCTGGCTTTCGTTCCTTCTCTGGCGAGGATGGTGCGGGTCGGGGGCTCCATTAAGGAAGTGTTCTTTGCAGCCAGGCCTGGTAGGTTTGATCCCCTGGGCGCGCGCTTTCCGCCGCCGATCGCCTTTCTGAATGTTTGCAGACCAGCAGAATCTAGGCCTAATTTTAGCTGTGGGTTGGCATCGGGCTTCCAGATCTAGAAGTCAGTGTTCTTCCTCAGCGCACAGTGCTCTCTGCTCAGTAGTGACGCATGGTCTGAGTACTCGAGCCTGGGCCTGCCATTGCCAGTGCTGGCTGGACCAGCTTGTGGAGACGCTAGGGAGGCGGGTGCGGTCCCTGGGGTGGCTCTGAGCAGTCTGGTTGGGATGGGGCCAAACTGTTTTGAGTTGGAAAATTGGATCGTGGGGTAGGGTTGTGGCGATTCAGGTATATCCAAAGTCTTCACTCTAAACACAGGTGCATTCTTCTCTCCTCAAGTCAGGTATCCAGTATTCAAACTACCCTGATTGTTTTTATAAAAAACTATTTTGTACACTTTGTTCAAATCAGGATCCCAGACTAGGACCACACATTACATTTGGTTGCTTGCTTTCACAGGTCCCTTCCCAATCCGTAGGCTTCTGCTCCCCCTTTTGTTTTCTTGCTGTTTCTGTGCCGAGAAGCTCATTTTCCACAGAATGATGCACACTCTGGATTTTGTGGATTGCCTTTGTGGGCTAGTTCTCGCAGGTTACAGTAAACACAGATGCCTTGTTCCGTCCTTCTTCTCCCCAATGAGATCTAACTGCTCTCCTCAGATTTCCACTTCCTGGGCAGTACATGGGGCAGGCAGGGCCAGCGTTGGTCATAAGGGGGCGTCGTCGTGCCCCTGGTGAGATCACAGAATTTCCAAAGCATAAAGAAAGATTTCTAGGCCCCATGTGAAAACATGAATTTTACTTGTTTTTCAGCTTTAGACTTAAAAAATTTGGCATAAGTCCTATTGAAACATCCTGTTTCATGCGTTTTTCCCTCTAGTAACCACCACCTGCGACAGGAATGCTTGCCGACTTACTTAGTGCAGCCTTTCTATTCTATGTTGTGATCTGTCTTCACCACTAGAAAATGTTCGTTTCCCCATTGTTTAGATTTAACTTTTGAGAGACAGATTCATATGCATTTATCTGAAATAACTGGATACCCTTTACTCTTTACCATTTCCCCCAGTGGTGACATCTTGTAAAATCAGAGTTCCAGATCACAACCACGGTACTGACATTGGTACCCAGCCCTGCATCGCGACTCACAGCCACTCCTCCTGCCCTCCCACCGCTGCTGTCTCTTAACCCCTGGCAGCGGGAATCTGTTCGCCATTTCTGTAAATTCAGGATTCCAAGAATGTTCTGTAAATGGAACCCTAGGACATGTAATTTTAGGGCCCCATTTACCTCCCCAGTCGTAATTCTCTGGAGATTCTTCCGGTTGTGTGGATCCATAGTTTGTCCCTCTCTGTTCCCGACTAGCAGTATTCCATGGTGTCACGTAACCTTTCGTACACTAAGGAACATCTGGGTTGCTTCTTTCGTGGTTTTTCTTTGTTTTTTGTTTTGCTATTAAAGCAGATAAGGCTGCTCAAAACATCTGTGTACAGTGTTTGTGTGAGCGTCATCTCCTTTTTCTGAAATCCAAACACCCCTAACTATACGCATGTTTTTAAGTAGGGAAATTAGCCGATCAAAAGCGGTCAAATGATTCTTTTCTGTCTTTTCCTTTTCTCACCTCTCCCACCTTTTTCTCCTAAAAATACAAATGTCTCATAGATTCACGAGACCAGAGCACTTAGGAAGCAGCGCCAAGATCAAGTGTAGCGGCTGCCATAGCTACCAGGAGTCCACTAAGCAGCTCACCATGAAGAAACTGCCCATCGTAGCCTGCTTTCATCTCAAAGTAAGTTTTCCAGTGGCAGACTCCATATTTAATACCCCGTACAACTGAGAGCCTCTTGGTCTGGTGCAGGAAGTATGCCTTGTAACTGCGGTGACTCGGGAAAGAACACTGGAGAAACCAGAGGGTGGTAAGTTGGAACTCTCTCTCCATCTTCTGTTGCCCAGAGAGGCTTGTGGTAAACGAAAGTAATGACTTCATGATGAAAATAGGATGTGCGTTGCTCTACTGGGGTGGGGGGGGTGGGGGGTTAAAACTTTACTTCTCCTCCCACCCGGATTCTTCCCCCCTCGACATCAGTTTTCTGTTGTCCTTTTACTTTTTAAAAGCAAACAAGACCCTTAGCATTATGATCCAATCCAGGGGTGGGTCAGCTTTTTCTGTGAAGGGTCAGACAGTAAATATTTTAGGTTTCACAGCCACACAGAATCTTTGTTTTCTAATCTTTGTTTTATCTTATGGCCCTTTCAAAAACAAAAAACAAAACCAAACCATTCCTGGCTTTCTAGCTGGATTTGGTGGCCTGAGTCCAGGCAGAGGAATGTCTTTGTCTGGTGAAAAGAACAGTATGTTCCTTTTTGCTCCCAGACGTTATGGATATTCTGTTGTCTACTACCTTGCGCTTTGCCGGGTTTGTCGTAGGATTACTTTTTTGTACGCTTGGTGTCGATCACTTTGAACAATCCCATCGTTTCAAGACTTCGTTTTTGAACTGCATAAATTAGATTTGTATGGATTAATATCATGTTGCTGAATCTGTTAGCTCTAGACGTGGCCGAAGGGCAATTCAGAAAGGGAAAGCCCACTTTTGGGAGTGCCCAGAGAGACACCATCAGGGGAAACCCGTAAAGCTTCATCCTCTTCCTTCTCTCCCCCCACCCCCACCCCAAATTTCTGTAGCGATTTGAACACTCGGCCAAACTGAGGAGGAAGATCACCACATATGTGTCCTTTCCCCTGGAACTGGACATGACCCCCTTCATGGCGTCCAGGTATGAAAGGGTTTGTTAAGCCGCGTCTGTGATCAGGAGGGTGTGGTTCTCTGGGGTCAGTGATTGGCACTGGGGTCCCGATGAGCCGGTTTAGACATTGATGTATCCATACGTGCTAAAACTGAATTGTTATCCTGATCTTGACCCAAGACACATTTTAGTTTCCTCAGATGTGCTGCTTCAGCTTTGGGTTCTCCCTAGTGATCCTCGATCAGGTTTCAGACTTGGCAGGTTGTCGAGGTGGGATCACCGCGAGAAAACCGCATGATCGCCGATGGGACTGATGTTGGCTACAGATAAACACAGTTGATTTTGCAGTTGTAGATTCCATTTCTCTTGTTTTCAAGCCTTGATATCCTAGACCACCTCAAATCTATCCTCCAAGTAAGGGCAACCTTCCCTAATATGTTGTTAGACATGTGTTAGTTTCCTAGGCCACTGTAACAAATTACCACAAACTTGGCCTGAGGCAGCAAGGTGTCGCCACAGCCGCTCATCCTTGGAAGCGCCTGGGGAAGACTCTGTTCCTTGCCGGGACATGGGGTCAGTTCGATCTGGGCTGGCTCTGCGCCTCGTGGCAGACGCTCTGGGCAGGTCAGTTCGCCAGCCTAAGCCTCCCATCGCCTCACCTTCACCTGAGGATAGTCTGCCCCTAGAAGGGAGAGCTGCTGGAAGACCTAGAAAGCATGTCTGGAGCATACCTGGTGCCGCGTCTGTAGGAGGCCCCGGTCGTAGTGGTACATCATTTGAGCCAGGCGTCTGCTTGGTTATTATTTCCAACGATGCTGAGTCTTGCTCCTGTTTCTTACAGCAAAGAGAGCAGGATGAACGGACAGTACCAGCAGCCAACGGATAGTCTCAATAATGACAATAAGTAAGTGGCACCTTGTGGGGTTGCCCTGGGCATCTCCAAGGTGGGGGGGGGGGGTGGGGAGGTGCGGGACCTCTGGTAGGCCTGGCAGGGAGGGCCCCGTGGTGGCAGCCCTCCTGTTTCTTTCGGCCCCTGGCCCGCTGCCTGTCTTGCTGCCCCCCGACCCCTGTTGAAAACGCTTAAGCCCTGTTAGGAAAGGACTTTTCACAGCTGCACCGTAAAGCTCCCTGATGTAGGAGCCTGACCCGTCTCTCCTGGCTTCTGTGCATGCACAAGGGCCCTGCATTTCTAGAGCGAAGGCTCGGAGTCTGAATTGTAGGCCTCTTGGCCTCTACTTCACTGGCATTGCAATAAGGTCTCTGTTCTTTTTTTTTTTTTTTTTTATGTTGAATTTATTTTAGAGAGAGCACAAGAGCGTGCACGAGCGGGGGCAGGGAGGAAGAGAGAGGGAGACCCAGAATCCAAAGCAGGCTCCAGGCTCTAGGCTCTGAGCTGTCAGCGTAGGCCCCGACGTGGGGCTCGAACCCATGAACCGTGAGATCATGAGCTGAAAGCAGACGCTTGACCAGCTGAGCCACCCAGGCGCCCCAAAGCCTCTGTTGTTTCCTCCACCACCCTTTTTGCTGGTGGTGTGGTAGAAAGCACAAGGCAGAGCGTGGTTCCAGTACCCCCAGGACGGATTGCTGTCCCCACTTCCACTAAATGTGGTTCCCGCAAAGCCGCCCGAGAGCCAAGTGGGGCTAGGCAGGCTTTCTTTCCCTCCGTGCTCCAGCTCTCATTCCTGGGGTGTTCCCGTTTAGTGTCAGGGGGCTACTGACTGCAGGCTTCTGGCCGCTTCAGACTATGTGGTTTCCGACCGTGATACCGCTGAGCTAACCACGCCCTCTCCCCACACCCTCTGTCCCCTCACTTGCTCCCACGCTAGGTACTCCCTGTTTGCGGTAGTTAACCACCAAGGGACCTTGGAGAGCGGCCACTACACCAGCTTCATCCGGCAGCACAAGGATCAGTGGTTCAAATGTGACGATGCCATCATCACCAAGGCCAGCATCGAGGACGTGCTGGACAGCGAGGGGTATGTCTGGGTAGCAGCTGACTCCCCGAGTGTGTAGCCATTCAGGGATTTTCACCGTCAGTCGCTGAAGTAATGAGGCTTGTTCTGGACAGGACGCCAGCCTGGGTCGGTCGCTGGCCAGGAGAGGATATACCTCTTGGTCACTCTGGATCGTACCTTCATTCAGACCACGCAGTCATGTATTTTACCCACGACGTGAGCTGACACATCAGTTCTCGGGGAGCTCGTTCTTCTCTACCCATCGTATTCCTCCTTGGCCCCCCGCTTTGTTAAATCCCTATTCCTCCTAAGACTGTCAGTGGGATCCCAGCCCCAGGGGTGGGCTGGGATGAGCCACCGTGAACTCTGTGAGGCATCTGCCCTTTGTGTTTACTTGCAGCAGGGAGGCCTCTTGCTAGAATCGGTGTGGAATTTGTGTTGAGAGCACGGTTTGTGGGCCTGAGGAGGCCACCCAAAGGGGCGGGTTTGGACTAGACGCCGTTGCGGGGTCTCACCCAGAGAAGCGGGAGGCAGGACTGATGAGGCTCACGACTTGCCGGTGGGAGGATGGGCTTGGGGCTCCAGCATTAGGCGGGGGCAAGGACCCTCCCCCTTGGGAACTAAGACTCAAAACCCAACCAAGCAAGCAGTCAGACTGGCAGCGTGTGCCAAGGCCACCGTGCAAGGCCAGTGGCAGGTGGCGGGGGGTGGTTTTGTTTTCCCTTCTCGTGAGTTACAACATAAGCTTGCTTTCGTCTCCGCCTCCTCAGGTACCTGCTGTTCTACCACAAACAGTTCCTGGAATACGAGTAGCCTTATCTGCGGCCGGACGGGAGAGATGAGGGCGATGAGTTGGCAGAGCCTCACAGAACGGTCCCCGTCCTCCCCGACTGCATGACGCCACCTCCCCCCCCACGGAAGTGCCCCCAAGAGCGCCGGCTTCCTCCGTGGCCTGGGCCCAGCGGCGGCCCGGGTCGGTGCCTGGGGGGTCGTGGCGTTCGCTGTGCTCGGAAGGAGGCCCCGGGGACCGGGCCACGGAAGCATTTAAAGGCGGGTGTGCTCTGCGTGGGCGGGGGCAGAGTGGACGCGTCCCTGGTGTCTCCTGTGCTCCTCAAGAAAATGTGCGGGGGGGGGGGGGGGGGGGGGGTCCATTTTTAAATCATGGGTCCATTAAAGCAGGAAAGTAGAGGAGCCAAAGACACTGCGTGAGGACAAAGGACTTTGCAAGTACCTTTCTCTCTGTGAGTTTAGTATTAAATATATATATAGTGTGGAACTCTTAGCCGCCGTCTTGTCAGCAGATACAGAGAACCCCCCCCCCCCCCCCCAGAGCCTGTGGAACCGAAGACACTCCCTGGGGTCTCCAGGCACATCTGTTCCGCAGATAACTTCGCATCAAACTGCATGTGGAAGCGTCAGCCCAGGTGTTCTCTCTTGGTTTGTTTGTT